ATTAGACTTTTGAGTTTATTCTTCTCGACTCTCAGGTGCCGCGATTCCTGGCTTTTGATTCCTAGTTATTCAACAACCTCAGGACAGGATGCAGTACTTTTACCAAGCTACTAAGATACTAGGAACGTATAATATACGATGGAGTCAACTGAGGCTGAGTGTAGTTTCATTTAGTTTTTTGCTGTGCCGTCACAGTTATTCGAAAATCACATTAATTCATCAATAAGACGTAGCTATTTTTGAACTCTCATGAAACAGAATTAGTTTCGCTTTTGTTTTTGCGCTTTTCAACTGTGCGTTCATATTGACTGGTACCTGGGATGTAATTGACAGATACCCATCGAAGTGAAAGTTGATTTCATGAAACTCTCAGTTGAGCTTCCATTAAACTTAATTACATAACTCTGTGCTATTTAATATTGATCAGTCTATGCTTTAATTGCTCTTCGAAAGGCGTCACCTGCTGAAGATTCTTGAAGTCTGCCTTTTTAAAGGGGCCACAGTTTGTCTAATTCAGACGTGTCGAACTCACAAAAAAAATAGACGCACGTTAATGCATTCTACCGATGGTCACATGAACAGAATTACTGTGTACAAGTGAAAACGTAGAAGTCAACCGATACCACCCACGGTAAATCTGGATAAAAAATTATGCGTTCATCAATACGAACTCTCATTTAGTGGTCATACAATCATGATCTGTGTGAAATTACATGGGTATCTGCCATCATCGTTGGGAGAGAAACCGAATTCAACCAGCAGTGGTTTACTGGCGATGCTGTGGAATATAGGCAGCTCGGGTGTACTGCTTAGTTGTTGGTCTGTTGTCAGTGTGGTGCTTGATCCACTCAGCCCCACAAAAGCTTGCATTGCACCTGTCAACCTCGCTAAACAGACAACCTCGCTAAACAATTTGCTGTCCTACAACCAAGGTGCTTATATCTAGACAGGTGGCGTCAAAGCCTTTGGTTAGCGAGCTTAACCATACCAAAACTAGTACGCAATTTCGGTTGGCCAGACTGATCCAGTCCCTTCAGAATACACATCTGTACTTTGTTGAATTTCGCACGAGAGTAGCTGTAAATGTCATAGCTCAGCGGGTTCCGTACCGTTTTGTTCCGTATCAGGCACAGTTTTATTTTGTTGGATTTTTATTGAAGTGGAGATAACCAGATGGTGTCCTCTTCATTGAAGTCAACGTGCACTCCTGAATGACATTATCAGTGCACACCATGGCGAGTCTAAACTATACTCCAACTCACCATTTAAATCTAGCTTATTGATTCGATCTCCTCAGTAAGATCTCGTGTTCAGGGTCCCATAATTACTTAATATCAAACCAATGCATATAGTTATCAGCATGGTCGAAAATGGCAGTCACACCCTCTGGACACCCGAGGAACGATAAGCAGCCAAGACTTGCTGCCGGACTAAGTCGATGGTCCGGGAGTTATCCACCTCCACCACAGTGCAAAGCCAACTGCACCTGTATGCTATCACATTATTCTGTACATTAAATTCTCGACCATTCTGGCCATCAACTAGAATGATTTACTATCAGTGTATGGAAAGGTTAAACGAATAGGTATGCACTTTAAACTAACAAAGTAGACGGTATGATGGTGGTCACATAGGTTTAAATGAAGTATCGACGATGAAACACTACCTCGCCAAGGAGTTGAGGATTCATCATTATCATCATCATCATCAGCTGTAAGAACCGCGTACTTTTCGTACAGTGTGTTGTGGTCGGAGACGCTGTCCATAGCCTCTGACTAAAAAGTCTGATCCGCAGGGTAGCGGACAGTAGGGTTCTCTTTGGGGATCCTACCCGGAGCGGACGATTCAGTAGTCTGACTTGCTCGGCTGCTAGGGATTGGCCCAATCCAAGGGGGCAGGGAATAAGGCATTACTGTCTCATTAATGATGCGGCAGCGTCGGACTCTGGTTTTAAAAGTATTTTGACCGTATTGAATAATTCACCGGTGCTCAACCGTTGGGCGATTGGGATGTCCGGTTTTTAGGACCGACGTTTTTCAACCTGTCCTTCCTCAGGGTAAGGCAGCATTGCTGCCTTCATAAATATGAACGTGCTGATCGCCTTCACACTTCTATCGCAGAGGAAAGTATGACTTTTCCCTCACACCGCCTCGTAGAATGACTACTCGTGGTGGTTTCGCTGCTCCCCATTGGCCTTCCTGGCATGGTTGCACTTTGTGGAACGAAGTTCCAGCCAGTGTAACCGGCGGGCTCATTGCAGCACTCAAGCCAGATCACCACTTCAAGGGGGCAGCTTCAGCTCAGGGCGGAGGGAAAATGAAGATTACACAGTATTCATAAACCTAGCTCACCGGTGGCTCTAGCCAAGCTCAGTTTGTACTCTCAAGTAGAGGACCAGACAACATAGCTTCCACCAGTGATTTCATGTTCATCCATACTGTATCCGTCTGGTTCCTTGTGACCATATGGAATGAGCCATCCCGGAAGCATTGGTTAGAACGATGAAACTTTTGGCGGACCTATTTTTTCATGCACCTTGGGCTCGCGATTTTCAGCTACGCGTTTCCCTGTGTTAAACTAGCGCCATGCATTCAGTAGAAATTACAGATAGAACAGGTGACCAAAACATTATCCAAATTCCTACAAGAATATTCATACTACTCATATGCGCACAACAGTAGTTGACGTCTTGTGGGTATCTGTTAGGAATAATGTGCCTGCAGCAAGACACCCATAAGAGAGAATGGTACCTACCTACTGATGCTCAACTGGTAGGCCAGCTAGTGAACTTGACGTCGTACATCAACAGCGGAGACAAAGTACGGGTGAAGACTTGAGAAAATTATTCTGACAAAAGCCACTCCTCCAGCATACTAGAGACAGACTGAAGTGGAATTTTAAGCCACCATCTTTTAATTAATCGATAGCTTAGCAATCGTATTAATTTTTGTGAAATCCTGAAAACCGAGAAATTAGGTCTTAAGTGATCGCGTAATCACCAGCATACAATTTTGGTTTGGTGTATCCTGGGGCAGGTACTGTTACTAGAGTCAAAAAGGTCCCAAGAAATGCCAGATCCTTTGTTCCTTTAACAGAAAACATACAATATTTCTGGCTATTGTAAGCTTGATGCCGATTTCATCTTCATTGGATGTATATATGGTTTACAGCTAGAGTGCCCAGTTGAGCGAACAACCTGACGTCCACTACTGATATTCGTTGGTGTGTCTTTATACCATTTGTAGTACATCAGCTATGCCTAGGCATCCAGTGTTTTAAACACTATTGACTACGAAACCCGTTTCGACGGTAACCACTTGTCTAAAGAAGAACCAATTAATCAATAGGTGATTTACATTCTTTCATACTGTGGCGTATTCACCAGCTGATTTCAGTTGAAGTGCAATTACTTGGTTATAAAATGCAGGCAACATTCCATCGACGACTGACTATCTGCACATAGAGACACACTATATGATTCCGTGATACTTCCGTGCCGATACGTCTTCTGGGCATACTTCATTTATGCACTATCCACTTATCAGCGTTTATCGATCGCTCGTGTATGCGTGACCCCTGGCTTAGGCACAACCTGGAGTCTGTGTGTGCATTCTGTCAGTTTCATACCAATCACGAGTTCAAAGAACACGCGGGTATCGATCGCGGCTACCGCGAGTCACACATTTACTCACAGGTGAGTGTTCTTTGAAGCGTAGTCATACTGAAACCAAGAAAAAAGCTGGTGTGAAGTGAAACGGTGTCACAATGAAGGGTTTGATAATATACCAATTGAAGCCGGGAATAGCATACAAATTCGGTGTATCGTCGAGTCAGTAACAAGAGTTTTCGGGTAGGTGATAATGTCTACTTGGTCTTTGCAACATTTAGTTAATTCACGACTTGCCTACATCACAGTCAACCTGCGAAAAAAGAAGAAAAGTCAGAGATCATACATAAGTGATTAGAGTGATAAACACCATTCACAGTGTGTCTAATTGTTAAAATACTAAAAGGGGGAACCTCCCTTTTTGGCAATAATTGCATGGTAACAGAAGTAAGGCACGTTAAGGTCTACCTTTGCGGTAATGGAATCAAAAACCACTTGCTCAGTCGTCGCATTTTTTTGTTACTCTCTGTGCTATTGAGATCATCGGGGCTGTCGGTCAATGTATCCTTTTGGTTGGATTACAATTAAGTTACATAACGCTACCATATCGCGGTTTCATTTACGACGCATAGCCCACGTGAGTGACCTTGTAACGTCTTTCTGAAGGTAACTGTCAGTTCTGCTTTGTCTGCGTATTTTTTTTAGAATCTTAATAACTCCACTTCCAATGAAGATCACAGAAAAGTTTAGCAGTTGGCATCAACATATCGGCTTTGTATCATTTCATCCGACAACAATAAGTATTTTACACAAAGTTCAGTCTATCGGAATTCATTGGCACTGAATTTGGTGTAGATATTTCTTGGTTGATTGTTTATTGTCTTTATCTTCATTCATGAGTCATTGGTGTTTGATGACGGAACCCTGACAGGTTCGTTTCGGATGGACAAGTCGACAATGCGACTAAATTCGTCTCTTCAAAAACTTGGATATCTTATCAACAAACACAGAGGAGATGGCCAGATATACCCGTGGTCGAAGGAACTAACCCACTGAATACTTGGGTGGTGCTATTGGGAGATTTGAGTCCCATGTGGTGCAACTGTTGCTATGACATCCAAATTAAATGGTACGCTGATTCTGTTAAACCTCACTTGTAAGTGAAAAGGAGAAGGTGGTTGGATTTCATCTTCCTCAAAACCTGAGAGGTATACGTAACCCCTTAATCTGGGATAGTATTCAGTTTATCTATATACAGTGTTGGCTTTGTATCCCTTGGCAAATCTGCTACGCAAAGCTACGAGGGCACACTAGATCTTACCATGTTAGCCTAGTCACTTCTCACACATTCACCTCGTTCGTTCATTCAACAGATTTCCCTGTTCCTCCGCCAATGCCTACAACAACGATGTCCGCATCCAGTAATCAGTCTTCCTCGAAAACGGAGTTGCAATCAAACGGCTTGGTTCGCGATGCCAGCCGACTGTCACGTCGGAAATCCAAATACGAACGTGCTTTGCTTGGACGTTACAGACTTGGGCGAACCATCGGCACGGGAAACTTCGCCAAGGTCAAGCTGGCTACTCATTTACTTACTGACAAAGAGGTAGCCATCAAAATAATAGAAAAGGCCGAACTAAGTAGCTCCAGTCGTCGAAAGGTACCAATTCTAATTGTCCTCGTCTCATCGACCTTTTATATTTCTGTTCTCTCTATTCAGCTTTCTAGGGAAGTCAACCTGATGAAGGTTTTAGACCATCCGAATATAATCAAACTACTGGAAATCATCGATACGGAGAAGATTATGTATCTAGTCATGGAATATGCTAGCGGAGGTGAGTTGTGAAAATATTGCTCCTGGCTAGTGATGCATACGTTGATGATTTCACTTTGCATTTTGAAAATCGATTTACTGAAACATTTTAGGCACAGTCATTCTCGTATGGTGTTCTCATGTGCTGATATAACACGATTGTCAAAAGTGGGTCAAACACCGACTTATTTCTCCTTCACGGTCTTACAGATTGATATCTCATTTGGTGCGAGGCACATCCGCCACTGCGCGGGCTGTTTTGTCAACTTGTAGTGATTTGCATGAATTACCTTGATCGATTTGCATAGCTATCAGGTCGTAGTGCTTTACGGAATGTCGTGAGCTTATTTTGTCAAATTTTTTCGGAGATGATTCATTAAGCCATGCGATGAACCAGTCGCTATTCACCAACAGAATGAGAGTAGCATTGTGAATAGTGTGTTCGGTGTAAGCGGTTTGGCGTGTATGCGGCAATGATCTCCATAGACGATTGGTGATAGTCAAATCCGTGAGACCAGGGTTAACCGATAACGATGTTGCACCCTGTTAACCTTTTTGGAAAACGTTCTACCGCAATTTACATTTGAAAATCGCGCCAGATTGGGCGAAGACAGCTCAGTTCGCTCTACTGTGAGATTACTTTTGATGTAGTGGGTGGATGCACTTGGGAGGTTAACTCGATGAGTGGTCTTGTGGTCGATGGTGGCCAGATGTGTTTTGACATCATTCGCGTAAACCGTCATCCTCTTGTTTGGTGCGATTTTTCTGGTCAAGCTATAATAAAGAGGAGGGGGATTATATGACATGAATTTCGCACTTGCAAATTACTTTTGATGTAGCGAGTGGATGCACTCGGGAAGTTAGCTCGATGAGTTGTCTTGTGGTCGATGGTGGCTAGGTGTGTTTTGACACCATTCGCGTAAACCATCCTCCTCTTGTTTGATGTGATTTTTCTGGTCAAGCTGTAATAAAGGAGAGGAGGATTATATGACATGAATTTCGCACTTGCAGTTGTTCGACAGAGCATACATTTGGCCATGTCGGGATTTAGACACTGTTCACTGAACATGCCGGGTGAGTTGGTACCACTGAGACACCAATGAAAGCTGGACTCACGTGGTCTATCACTCCTTGGCAGGCAAAAAGATTCACGTTCACTCCGCATTCCAGATAACTTAATTTCAATTCCTGGTAGAAAACCGCAGTTACTTCGAACATTCAGCCTTATTTACTTTCATCAGATATGCTCAAATCAGTGGGGCACGGGAACTTCTAGGTGTCATTCGCAGCTTTAAAATCCAAGGTACTCATGAGCTCAGTTCATCTCATTGAATGTGGGATTAGTGTGAGTGCTTGAAGCAACACTCATGTTTAGACTATGTGGGTTCGTTCTTCCACAGAGTGCATTGCAGCTTTTCTCAGTGACCAGTGTTGACCCACCTGCTAGCTGTCTCAAAATACAGAAGATCAGAAGATGCATTTATGAATTGATTCACTGAGGCACACAATGCCTAAACTAGAGGGGCTATATGCACACTCCATATTTTGTCTGAATTATGGCAAACAGCTTCAAGATTATCTTTATGTACAGCCCTGAATGGCGGCTGCCAAATGAATTACTTTTTGCCTCTGGAGAGAACCTTAGTAGAGCAGATTGTGTTCGCTGAGCTGGGAATTTGGTTTGTAAACATCTCATCATCAGTCGAGGCGATATCATCGGTATGAAGTCGGTAAGCTAATCGCTAGAGCCGTCACATCGACCGATAAAGTGCCTGCAAACCAGTCGTTCCGTTCCACCCATAAGTGCTGATGAATAGTTTATTACCTCACTTTTGTTAGTTTGCCCAGTGGTTCATCCAAGTTCCTTCTCCATTTGAGGAGAGTCCTTCAGTGATTGTCTGGTCGTGGGAGGCTGACCAATGACAACCGTGTCATATGCTCCGGGTGATGAAATTACACTCAAAACGGGCCTTTTGCAACAGATTTCATTAAGGCAGAGGAAAATTTTCTGTTATGTCTGAAATGGATGCTTCATGAGTTAAGAACTCTTGTCCCTCCGTGATTCGCATACTGACGTGACAAGGTGACACTTTATCATGGTCTATGTAATTAGGAGCTCTTTTTCCGATAGCTGAACTCAACAAAGAACATCGGATGGCACATTCTGGTTTAAAGACGAAAACAACTGTGATTATAGACAAATGTTGTGCTATCTTGCTTTGCTTTTCAATCGGTATTTCTCCCGTACCATGCTCTACTGAATGGTGTTCTGCGCGAATTCACAGCTAAATTACTAGCCAAGTCGTGCCAAGTTCATTCAGAAAAGACTACCTATTTGGTGGACTGGTGAATCGTAGATTCCATTCAGTTATAATGAGCTAATAATCAAGGTCAGTGACAGGGCGTCTCTATCGTGATACTTTGGGAGGAAAAATTAAAATGGGTCACCTTTCAGGTTTTAACCGGTTTGTCTCCTCGCCAGAGATGCCCCCTCTCAAGTCGTTTTCAAAGCGAGAGTACTGTGTTATAACCGTGCAAGCTCCAGTTTTATACAAACCGAAAGTCTTAGTTGGAATGACCTGCACACATCAGTGACAAGGCCGACATAATGCACTCAACTAGAATAGGCATGGTGTAACGTGATACTACTGATGGTGGGGCATGCGAGTAGTATGTTTTGATGTTGTGAATTCGCTTTGCGTCTCTTGAAAAGGGGGATCTGCTGCGGAATTTGTGGAGTCGCTCTGTAGAATTTGCTTGAATTTGAGTAACGAATGATTGGAGTCAATGAATATTCAGGAAAGTTCAATAAGACGCATTCAGGAGAAGATGGATGTCAAGTTTTTGTAAAGAAGATGCAAATGAGAGTTTTGCTTCCCTGTCCAATAGTCTGTAACTGGTCATTTGGCATTTTCTAGTAAAGAACTCCCCAGCGAAGGTCTTCTTCATTTCAATGGTAGCTCTCTAATTTCAGAGGTCGGTCGTACGTTGCGACACACCACGACAAGCAGTCCGCAGAATGTCATTGTGAAGGCGAGTTAAAGACGACTCAGGTTCTTGCACATTCCCACACCTAGTTTTTGCCAACGCCAAGTGTCCGTATATTATAGCCTCGGGTTGTTGGGACAGATTTCTGTTTCACGTTTGTCTACCTACAGCCAACAAGTCAGGACGGAAAATTGAGGAGACTAATCGTTGGCTTGCTCTCCAGATCACGCTCGGAATTTCCAAGGCCACTTTGTTTTCTAAAGCTGAATTACACACTCATATATGCGTGTGTGTATGCGTGCTCGCACAGACACAGTTACTGTGACCACGTCGGAATTAAGTTTTCAGTCTTGTTCAGATTTCAAAACACAATTACATTTGATCGATAAACTGCCAACTAGCTGACATGGGTGTTGTTGAAAAGGAACAGACATTATCTATTCATTCTAACTTGACTGGTCCAGTTTGATGCGGTTTTTGGAGAAAAGTTTAGCCGGAGTAGGCTGTTGTATGCAGAAACGTGTAAAGCTTCTGTTTCCTCTTCACTCTACACAAATTCTATGTAGGCTAGTTTAACCTGATCGAATAGTTCGGAAGAAAAAATCTGTAATCTCGGAAAAACGGCGGGTAACTTGACATCGCTCATTACCTTCGTTTTATGGAAAATGTCTGAAAGTATCTGCTTGACTCTGATATTAGACCTCTAGATGAGAGAACAAGAGAGTTTGTTCTCAGGTGGGAGAACTGGTTAGGTGCTACCTTCGTCAAGTGTGTCGAATTGCTGTTTTTGATTTGGGCGAAAAGTTACACGAACAGGAGTGAGTTATCCGGAATTTTTTCAGTTTGCTCAGCTGTAACTGATATACCCGAAGGCGCAACAGAATGGTGTTCCGATGTAATACTCATCAAGTACTGCTTTTGAGTTAGTGTAGGAACGATTGGTCTTCGAGGTGCCTAATGACAGCGGACACTAGTTGTGTCAAGTATAGACTGTCCGTGGCATGGGGTGATGTACGAACAGGGTCAGTGTTAGATGGTAGGTGATATATTTCTATCTGGACAATGAAAAACTTCAAGACGGAGAAAGTTAACCCCAACTGTTATAGACAACCTTCTTGATCAGGAGTAGTTATTGTAGAATACCAGTGCCAAAAACCATTTTTCTCGTGGACATTTTCTCATTGGATGGCACTGCGCTCCAAATTCTCTTACTCTAGGCTTGTTCAAAACGGCCTTTTTCGTCACCTACGGGAAAACTTGGAGCATTAATATCTAGAGAAATATATAGCAACCTGGTTGCTTTTTTTAGATGTTCACTTACTCTGTGCACACTGGAGATTAAACAGCGGTCGTAACAGTGGGTCGTGACAGAGATCTGGGAAGTTTACTACCATTTTACTCGTCCAACCACGACCCTAGCTCGGCCGTCAGTGGCACGTGAAACTGAAGATCCTTCACAGCTGATTTTGGCTATGGGGAAAAACGGACACCCAGGGACTAACCACGATTACCGGCAATACGCTTCCGACACCTCAACGGTTTTTATTGCAGCCTAATAAGACACTCCATGGATGAATCCCTTTGAAACAAACACTCCGCTCGAGTGCACTACTGAATCACCAACCAGGAAAAACAATGTGCTGAATACGTCCTCCGAACTCTCACTTCGTCATGAAATGCAGTTTGCATTCTGATGGTACACACAGCACGTGTAATGAAGATAGTTTCAGGACAGTTGCCTATCACGTCTCCAAATTATGACCCAAAGTAACATCATGGCTCTAACGTGGCACAGTGCAGTCAAGGACACGCCAGTGGATTTGATTTTTCACTACTCTCATTCTTGTTCCTCCAACTATTCTCACTGCGAGCAGACTTGATCTGTGATACCGGCTGCGTACAATAGTCTCTATGCTACTCTCATCCAACCACACATTAGGGACCCAAAGCATCGGGTGATGGAGTGCTTGTCTAGCTAGATGTTTTCAACCCTAAACGGTCTGGTGGCAGTTATCTTCTTTTCTTCTTGACCGGAGCCAAGATGGTTTAATGAAGCCATTGCCGACTGATTTGTTCCACCGTTTACTTGAGCTTTTACAACCGCAAACAAACCGAAGCTCCTGACAGACTGCTCTAACTCGTCAATCTGAGAAGTTGGTTGAACTAACTTGATGTTTTTAATCTGGAGGAATGGCGGCCACGTTAACTCTCCGTAACCGATCATCTTGTTTAAAATGTGTGAGCAAAATGAAGACTTGTTTTGCGCAAGGAAAGTGGTGAAGATGCGAGTCCAGCCTAGAATCCATGCAAGTTGACTTATTCAGTGTGACTGGTCCGAAATATACCTCAGGCATCTTTGGTGTTACGCGAAATGGAGAGAGGAATTGGACCAAATACACTTGATTTGCGATAGTCTGACAGTTGAATGTGAAGAGTCTCTTGGATAAAGTGCCGTACATTGAGCGGGGTGTGATGCAGTTAACCCAAGAAATACTCTCAAGTGAGAACCAAAACAAAAGGATTAATACAGAAACAAAGAGTCCTCTGGAGATAAAGAAACATCCTGTTGCTTAAGGACCTTTGTTATTGCCTCGGTAATTTTTATGGTTCAAATCGCCGGCAAAACAGTCGTCTCGCTCTCCCAAGGTTACTGAAAATTCTTCGGCCCTGCGAGTAGTATGTCACGTCTAGACAATGCATTGCTATACCTTGAATGTCGTAGCAACTGAAATTTGAGGTGCTGCAAACTTAGTTGAAGTAGACATATATAGACGAGAGATTCGAATGGATTCATTTTAGTATCCACTCAAAGCCAAATTCGTGTGCAAATAGGAGAACCTACCTAGATGTCACTTTGTTCCTCATCACAAAACGACATTTCCGTATCAAGTATTCAAGTAAATGACGTCTTCCAAAAAATGTGAAAGTGAAAACCTAGCTGCACCACCTCCATCATTTTACAATTAGTAGATCAAACCACTTCATTTCCCAACAACTAATACAAAAAACTTTTTTTACCAACAATTGTATATTTTGTTGTCCCCCCACACAAACAGGTGAACTTTATGAGTACATTAGTAAACACGGCCGGATGACGGAAAAAGTGGCTCGGGAAAAATTTCGACAAATTCTTTCGGCGGTGGAATACTGTCACCAAAAGCATATCATACACAGGGATTTGAAAATGGAAAACCTTCTGTTAGACACTGATATGAATATCAAACTTGCCGACTTTGGGTTCGCCAACGAGTTTGAGGATGGAAAGAAGTTGAACACATTCTGTGGCAGTCCACCTTATGCTGCACCGGAGCTATTTCGAGTAAGCTGTCTTTCCAGGTCATGATTATGTCAAGTGTGTTGAAATCAGTCGGGGACTTTTTAGATCGATTAGTGCGTGGTAATGCCATTCAAAAAGTTCATTCGACAGCTGCTATGCACCTTAAAGCTCACGTAATTAGGTTCACGATTTCTAATCGTATTGTATGCATTGTGCTTAAATTATCCTGCCTTTTGGTTTCATGGGAGCCCTTGTGAATGGACATGCAGCTTGAGTTTTGTGTCATTTCCGTTTGGTAAACAAAAATTTTGGGTACTTCTATTCATAACTGGCGATAGTTAACACCATTGATCGGGAATTTTTCAGAATCCGCCAATCAGAGTTCACTATTGATTTTTATAATATGCTGATGCCCAAGATATTTTACTGTACGACCAGATATATTGTTTTTTGCATACTTCTTTGAAGATAAAGCCGAACGCCCTAGCGGACGCATTACACTGTTTTACAGCATAAGTTATTTTACGAAGCGAATGGCACTATTCCCTTATAGTCTTTTTTGTTTGGACAAAAGTGTGGTACAAGTTGTCCATGGGTAAAAAATCCATCATCTGCACTCGATAGTAATAAATTGATTGTTTTATTCCGTAGATCACACTGACTGTGCAACTCTAATTGTGCCAGATTGCTTAAACTGAGTTTCACATTCTCCGGGAAAGTGCTTCATTAAAATTCTGGAATTGACTGAAATATGGTTTTTTCTCACTACACACGCTTCTGGTAGCCATGCGCTTGTTTGTCATTGAAGCCACCAACAGAACAGTTGCCTGCGCTTAAATTGATTATGAATACATCTATCTCAAACAATAGAGACGTGTCGTTTTATAACGCGAAGTGGACTGCACAACACTTTAAAACAAGTACTATTTGGAATAGGTTGACAACTTACATGAAAAAGTGCTCACTAAAGCCCTTCCGCTGGACGCTACGAATCAAGACTGAATAAAGTTGACACATGAATGCCGATATATATATATATATATATATGTATCAGAAAGATATGATGAGTTCTTGAAAGGCTCAGTCAGGTAGCGCCTATTGTCCCATTCGAGGGTCTCATTTGGGCTATGCAGATTAAGCCACCCACCCGATTCTCTGGTGGAACACTGACCACAAGTCTGCAACAACTATGGTTGGACTATGCTTGAACAGTTCGATCCATGAATATCCCGTGGGAGGATGCTTGCTCAACCTCCAGTTTGCTACACCTGCAAGTTAAAACACTCGAACTAGTGTTCCTTTCTCATCAACAGTCATCAGCGCTGCACGAATTATGGGTTTGAGCTTCTTGCCGTTAATCGGCCAGTGCTTCCTCAGTAGTCCATTCACTTTACATCAAACAGGCATTGGGGTTTCACATCACTGCATCCCCCTGGAATACCAAGAACAAGCCGTCTGATTTAGCCAACCAGTTGAACAAATCTTGCCTTTCTTGTGACCTATAATGTGTGAGAAATAATTAAAAATTTGTTAAAGGATTAATGTGGGTCAGGACAACAAGGTAACAAGTCTGTCACTCATTAGATGACGTTCATCTTACAAATGTTTGAAACAATACTAGTTTCTGGATAAAAAATGAAACGATACTGAAAGGAGAAGACCTGAAAAGGAACATTATTTCAAAGAAGTGATTCTCCCAACAAAGTGTGTATGATGAATCTGCTATAATTTGTAACTTAAGTATGATATTAAATCAAGTAAAATAAAGTATACTTCATATTGATCAAGGTTCAATTCCAACTAGTCGGACCATATTTTAGAGTTTTATTAAAATCACTTCTGAAGAAACTTTACAGTAATATACCTGGTCGCAATTGAAACATTTTGGAACATTGGAACATTTACAACTGGAACATTTTTACTTGTGCACAATGGAATAGTTGGAATTTATACACGTATTTAAAGAGTGGAATGAACGGAACCGGAGACTCAACTCTACTTCAACTGAATATATAACATTTTCAACGGTGTGTGGTATATAAGGCTGTGTTGTGCTTCATTTGAAATGGTGCTCAGCGTAATGTGTCAAAATTCTTAATCTAACAACTTGTAAGGTCGCTGAAAGCCTTTCGACAGCTAGATTCTGGTTTAATTCCTCGTGTAGCCCCTCCCAGAACAGGCGTGACACCTCGATTTTTATAAAGCTTATTTCCTGCTTGAACGGAAATTTTACCAAGGCGGCAGATAGCTTATACCTCTTGTGTGGCTCAATGACATCCCTAATTGACGAGTGCCACGAGAGGAGAACGGATCCTAGCAACCGTATACGTCGCGTCACAGAGACGTTGGCACAGGACAGAGCTAACTTTTGGTAATGAAATATGAAGTTTTGGATGCAACGCAAATGCCGTGAATTATTCAACTGGAAGTAGAATCCATCTGCTCGCGTCTTTAGCAAGTTATCTGGCACTTAATCGCTGATGAGTGTACCAAGGTTGTGAATGAATCTTTCGTGTCCAACTGATTCAAGAAAAAATGAACGAATACATTTTGGGTCTACGAAGACGATATCTGTATCGTTCCAAAAGTTTCAGCTCTTCAGGACATCCAATTCTGTGGGGAAAAATACCCGGATCTTTTTGGTCTAGCCAAACTGATCTCTATGCTTTGATTGGTAGATCACATGCTGTGTACACTCTGCGTTTACAATCAAGCTTCAAAGCGGCAGGTTAATCCAGATGAAGAACCATTTTATACAATTTGCTCTCGTGATCTCACGGATTGCGATTTTGTTTTGGAAATGATGTAGATGGAATAATGAGACAAACGCTGGAGGGTCTCCAAAACCCTGGTGTTCAAATAGCCTGTGAAGAAAACCTTGTCGATCTGGAATATGCAGACGACATCGTTCTCATGTTCGAAGAGAAGGAAAAGGCGCAAGTATTCTTGGATGAACTGACCAAAGTCATCCCGTCCTTTGGTATGCACTTTGCACACACAAAGTGTAAGGTAATGCTTGTGGACGTGCAGTCACTGAGCACACCACTTACAATCCAGGGAGGTACTGGAAGTTGTGGAGCGTTTTACGTATCTTGGAAGTTGTATTAGTTCTGATTGTAGTGCGACAGATGAGGTGAATGCACCTACGAAGACGACATCTGTATCGTTCCAAAAGTTTCAGCTCTTCAGGACATCCACTTCTGTGGGAAACAATACCCAGATGTTTTTGGTCTAGCCAAACTGGTCTCTATGCGTTGATTGGTGGGTCACATGTTGTGTACAACCTGCGTTTACAGTCGACCTTGAAAGCGGCAGGTTAATCCGGCTTAAGAACCACTTTATACAAGTTGCTCTCGTTACCTCACAGAGTACGGCTTTGGAAATGATGTAGATGTTTCTGTCGAGCAGATTTTGTGCCGAGGAAGTAGTGTGTGCAAAAAGAACTCCTTGGATGACCTGATAGATTCATTTCCCGACTGGCAATTGCTTAGGGATATCATGTGACCTATTACCTACTAGTCCAGCCTACCCTATAAGTAGTCAGTTATAAGTTATAACATGTTAGATAGAATTCAGTAAGCTCTCTCATAAATATTTTAGACTTCAGTACACCAAAGCAAACATGGTCTAGCCTAAAGCAACTTTACATAACATTAAGTGTTGCGTCATTTTCATGCAATAGATGGGTGCTTTTGCTCGAATTCTCGTATTCATGGCTGGAGAACTTCGAAGCCTCAAGATTACCAACTTGGTGCACAACTGAATGCACTATGAGAGTTCGACTTATGCCTAGCTAGAGATTAGCTGACGAACAACCGTGGCAAAGTTTCCGTTCACTGCATCTTTGCGCGCCTTTCAACACATAAACAAGCCGACTAGGCGAGCATGCGTAATACAACTTTTTGGTCATCTGTTCTCCATAGGAACTGGTGCAAAATTATCTTATCTTATCGTAACTACCCGGTTACGCGACAACTCATTCTATCGTCTTTCGAGTCAGAAGCACCGTGCTGCAAGGTTGACATCCATTTAATACTGAAGGAGTAGAGTTGTAGAGTTTCAGGAGCAAAAACGTGGCAAGCAGGTCACCTGAATTAGAAGAATCCAATCCAGGAACTCGATGACAAGCTGTCTCCGTTCCGCCGACGAAACGTTACGAATGGTCTGCGGTTTTGTCAACGCGAAGAAACTACGAATCCTTCGTCTTTTTCACCAAAGTGAAGGTGCGAAGACGAGCGTCAGCTGCCACAATGTGGTTGAAGGTCTGTAGGTTGTCTGTCCAGAGCGGCTGGCTAAAATCTGGTTCCAAGTTAGTAATGACGTGAAGACGAATGACTTCTGATGGACTGGGAGGTTGAGATGACTTTGGCATCCAAAAGCTACGATGGCAATGCTGTTTAGCCGTTCTCTGCAAACCATTTGCTGTCTTGAGGGTCGCACTTGCCTGTGCGAAGACTAGAGGCGCTCCTGGGTATTGCGCGTCTAGCTTTCTTTCACTGTTTACTCCGGCTGGGAGAACCCATCACTTTTTTCTATGAAACTAGTTAGTGTCATAACCACCAACCAAATACGAGACTGCAATGTTCACGGAACCACGTGAACTTTACACGCTACGGTCACTCGAATTATTCTCTTTTCCTCTTGGTTTGATGCAGTCTCATTTAAAACACCGCTGTGGGAGAGTTTGGTCACTCCGCCCGTTATATAAATCCTATCCAACCTTAATGAAGCGATACGCCTTTCTTCACTAAAAAAGTTAATTTAAACAGGGCTCCTTCAATGTTCGCACACTCAGAAGGATCGGGTAGTAAGCTGCCATTGTCCACACTTTGGAAGGACTTGGTACAAACGCTATTTTTTATCAGAAGCGTGCCCATACAACCCCAGTCAATATTTCTACTGGAGCTGGCTTCATCAAAGACTGTATGAACACAGCGCTGCTCCGGAGACTCAGCGGCGCAAACCTCAGGATATGCTGACATTGTAATTGCCGTCATCCACCCCTTCAGTGTGAACTTCTGACACAAGAAACAGCAACTAGTAACTTGGCATCTTCCAACTACCGACCCGTGTCGTAAACAAACTGACCGCATTGCAGTCATCTACCATCGGGAGGGGGTCCGTAATGGGGTTCCGATCGGGTCGTCGTTCAATGAGTCGGGCACACCAATCAGATCGCTCAAGTGTGAACACGTTCGCCTGTTCAGACGTGATAATTCAGATGCGTCCAAAGTGCATTGGTGGAGTAGTGGTTACACACTCGCCTGGCATGTCAGATGTCCGGGGTTCAAATCCCGGTACGGCCATTGCATATGCTCTGCTGATGAGCTCTAATAACAGCAAAACTCAAGTCCAGTGCTTCCCTTTGGTGTGGACTCACCGGAATAATTACGCCAGAACAGGAACACGGCCGTTCAAACGGGAGTGGTGTGGCTATGGACAAACATACCTATCCCGCAAAACCCCAAAATTGCACACTAGAGTAGTTGTGTGAACTCCGATCATGGCTGCATGTTTACGGAAACATCCATGTGCTTCTGTGACAGTCGACTGGGGCGCTTTCAGCAACTTGACGTTACGATGCCTCTCAACTTAGCTACACTGGAAATCTTCTGACATGAATTGGTTGTTGGAATCAGTGATCCACATCAACCATTCATTTCACGGTGTTGCCCCCAAATTTCGCAGGGTGGCACCTCGACACGTAAATCGCAGTCACTAGCCTTTTCGGTTTGGTTACCAAGTCTCCGAAATTCCATTTCGGCAGATTCTACATCAATGTACATCAAGAGCCTAGACGTGTGCCATCCAGTATCTTGTTTAGTGACAGTCAGAAGGGAAGAAATTGTGAGCAAAGGAGGTACAGTTCGCTGGGGCAATAGGAGATAGTCGTAAACTCTTCCACCTAATCAGGCTGATCAGCTTTGAGCCTGTACCCGTTAGAGAGGGTAGATCATGTACCAGCAGTATTTACCACCAGTAGATTACTTGATGAACCTCAAGAAGGACGTAGGCAGTAGTGGATTGTCGAGGCGCTTTCAACAGCATCACAAGTAGTGTCACGCCAAGGCAACGTATTGATATTTTCGTCCAACAATGGACATCAAATAGGACCTTCTGGTGAGGTGCAACGAAGCATCCTTTGTGTGCAAGGAGTGAACTGGTTGATGTTACAGACTACCATCGACCTCGATGGTCAAGGTACGTACTGAAGGTAGAAATCAGCTTTCTATCTTCGCAGAACTGAGTGGAGGCTGGAGATATCGAGATAGTCAAAAAGCTATTTAACACCTAAAAATGAGACCCCTAACAGTTCGACCTTTCTGCGTTGGATTGTGCAAAGTCCCCTGCCGGAGCTGAAAGGACAATGACTGCAACTGGCATGGAACTTTGTTGCCCCCAACCGCCTTCAGATGCTTTCCTAATATTTAACTAATTCCTTTTGTTTTTCCATCCCATTGAAACGCGCTGTTGTTTACCGTCAAGCACAAAGGCTTTTCGGAGTTCTTCATGTCAATATACCTACATAAAATATCCTACGTGTACTTTGCTTCTTGCCAGTATGTCTATCGCGGCAGTATAGCGAATTGTTGGAATTTTATCATTTGTAAACTACAAAGGAATGAAGAATTTTACCTCACCGACACAGCCGCCAACTGCCAGCTACCTACTTTGTGCCAACACCCTATTCGTAGTTTCGTCGGTGTCATGCTTACTGATCAATGAAGATCCAGTCTTGACCGATTACACGCATGAAAATAGCACATGCATGAAACCCCCTATGGATGGGTGATGCGAGTGAATCTCTGCTTTTGTCCGGGGTCTTCTCAGCATGCACATTACATGTTTGTTACTGCCGGAGATTAAGACGCGTAGATCTGTTTTTCGGTTTGATTAATAATTCTTCTGAATGTCATGTGGATATAGAACACATTTTCAAGTTTTTCTGGAGCGGATAGGTTCGTTCAGAATCCGACTTAATACAGCTGAGAAATATTTATGCCCGATCCCACAATGTTGTTAGAGTACAAATCTAATATGGTAGCTTTAGTAAAACGGGAGGGGCGAGGCATCGGTCAGTTTAGGGTCTACTCATCCACTAAAAATCTTGAGTAGTTGTGTAGAAATTTCGAATCCATGTAGTAAATCATTTCAGGGTGGGTCAGAGCATCTTTTACAAATGGGTTGTTGAACCTTGAATGTAGAAGAAAACTGTCTCAAAGAGGAAATTTCTTTTTGGACAATTCATTTAAAATGGCAGTGCAGTAGCGTCGTATCAAGAAGAAGGCAGCTGAGGACGAGAGGACAGTACTGATCAATTGTCTACAATCCCTGTTTATGTGGCTAAAATGACCTCGCCCTTGACTGAATTTGAGCCACGGTTCTTTCACTATCCGGGAAATTTTTTTCAAACTTATCTGACTGATATTGGTCGGCATCAGTGCCGTTTTTATGACGTTTTTATAACCAAGTAGTCGACACAGTGATTACGTTTCTTTCTTGGGTGTCTCATGCTCGAAATATTTATATAGTAGGGAACCAGAAATGAAAAGTTCAAAAGAACCTACTCGTTCTGAAGCATTTCTATCTTCTAGATGGTCGGTGGGCGTATGATGAGCTGCGAACTAGTTTTGTATTGGCGTTGTCCACCTGTTGATCAGACTACGCCCCAGTGAGTTGACCGAAAGCGAAAATACCGTGAGGTGTTTACGTGAGCCTTAGGTTTTCTCGTGGACTATGGTGACCAACTGATACTAATGCAGGTTCAACAGAGGAAGCAGTTGCAAATAAGACGGAAGTTTTTTAATAGAGGAAACTACTTACAAACCTGTTGAGGACTCTTTGATAACCCACGACCGATTTCGCCCTTCTTGGGGCTCATCAGGTAGGCGCAGTGTCCCAGTTTCCGTCAACCTTATGTTGTACTTGAACACAAATTGAACTGTTTTCGAGGAATACACTCATTTGACGGAAACTTGGGGACTGCGCATACCTGATGAGCCCCAAGAAGGGCAAAACCGGTCGTGGGCTGTCGAGAAGTTTTCAGCAAACTTGTGAATAGTTTCGTTTATGAAAATATACTGCGATATCTCGAATGTCATACTAACTGAAACATGAGGCGGCCTGTTTTCAGCAAATTCAAAGAACATCACAAACGAGAGATTCAGTTGAGTGAAGACCGTGAAAGCTCGTGAAAACCAAATTGATTTGCAAATGAGTGTATTTCTCGAAGACAAAAGTTTATGTAGGTTGGATGAAATCAGACAAATCACTCGCACATTGAATAAACGTCTTGTGTTAGAATAGGCATACTTAACTATCATAGTGAACTTAGACTGAGGTACTATGCGCGCGTTAGGACAAGTTAACTCAGTATTTCTCGGGGCAGTCCATTTTATCCAAAACATTAGTTTGGACATCGAATCGGTTAGAGTTGCTCGGGGGGAGGGGTGGTGTCTGAGATTTGATCGTCCAGATTTATTCAATGTTTTTTTCCCGTGTTTTCACTCATGATGCCAAGATCTCTGTGCACATTGCCTTCCTAATCATAGTGTTTGGCTGTTTTACACAGGGGAAGGAATATACCGGACCTGAGGTGGATGTTTGGTCACTGGGCGTCATTCTGTTCAAACTGGTTAGTGGTACCCTCCCGTTTGATGGCCACAGTTTGTCCGAGTTACGAGAGCGTGTTCTGCGTGGTCGATACCGAATCCCCTTTTACATGTCGACGGAATGTGAGAAACTGTTGAAGAAAATGCTCGTCTTGAATCCCAGTAAGCGGCACACTTTACAGGTTAGTGTTTTCTTTTTGAAGTAACGCTACGTCACCAATTCAATGCCACGTATTTCGGTACTTTGCCTACATGAAATGAACGGAGAAGTTGGAATAGAGCAGTGTGAGGTTTGGTGCCTGGTGTGGAACTTACACAGCGAGTTCCCTTGCTGAAACATCCGTTGCAAACTCTGCATTGTGGTGAAAAGCTCTTACCTGTGTTTACGTAAGGCCACACAAGCATACCTGCAGCAACTAACTACCGAACGGGATCTTCATACTTGGTAAACCTAACATAGTTCATGAACACTAGGATTGTTATATATGATACATTGTATTATATATATATATATATATATATATGTAAAGACCCAGTCGATGCGATGAAGGCCTTCTGGAGTTTTTGAGCTAACTGAGAGCAGTTAATTTTCATTCGTGACTTATAGAGATCTTCCTGAACGATCATTTGAGTACAAAGCCCATGTGACTTAGATCTGAGAAAGTTTTTCTTATAAACTCATGATGTTTCGAATATGTACTCATTTGCAAACTAATTTGGTTTCTCGAGAGACTCACCTGGAACCCAGCTGAATCTCTCGTTTGTTCATGATGTTCTCAGGCAAGTGAGTGTGCTTCATGCACCAGGCCGCCTCATGTTTCAGTCGCTACGATATTTGAGATATCGCGGTACATGTATATCCTTGTAATGTTTCGTTTTTGTTTGGAATGATTGAATGGGTGTAATGGGTGGGATTAGTCCCTTGCCCATATAGGCAACGATTTGTACGTGACAGTAGCGCCTTGGGGCGACCATCGCCCTTGGCTGTACAGCAATACATGTATATCCTTGTAATGTTTCGTTTTTGTTTGGAATGATTGAATGGGTGTAATGGGTGGGATTAGTCCCTTGCCCATATAGGCAACGATTTGTACGTGACAGTAGCGCCTTGGGGCGACCATCACCCACCCTTGGCTAGCAAATATAAAGTAAACCTATTTGTCAGTTTGGTCCATGCAGAAGAACCTGTCAAAAACGGAACATTCAAGGGCAGACAATGTTATTTAGAACAAAAATTGTTTAAGGTAGTGATTGGTCCGTGTCGGAAGCAATAGTCCCAGGGTTTCTGGGAAAAGAGGCTCTACTAAGACCGTTCGGCAAACATTTTTCTGCAGTCAAGGTTGAAAAAAGGGTCGGGCTGACCCCATCCTGTAAATCGAGGCACGGAAAGCTGACCCAGATTATTTAAACGTTTTCTTTGTACCATTTCTGAAATCTCAAAGGTTGTGTTGACAGTAGACGACAGTTTTCGATCCGAAATCCGATTCTCAACTGCAGTCAAATGAGCATTCATCTATAAAATGTGCGATTTCCCACTTTTCTGATCAAACAACAGAGTTGAACAAGTTGATTTATGAACAAGATCGAGGCCATGTAATGCTAGGTAACCTCGTCAAACTATTTCTGTTTTGATGTCACGTGGTATTGAAGCGGTTATGTGGAGCTACTGCACACGGTACACAGCCCTGTTTCACTTTTGGGCTTTCCTCAGTTCCCACAATTTTGACGAGAGCACAGGGATACAAATTGCTGAAAGATACACCACGTGCATTTCACTATATATCTTCCGGCTTTACATGCAGAATAATACAGAATAAATAGATTAGAACACATTTCTACGACCGAGATCTTGCGGGTACGTAAACTGTCAAGAAATGACAAAGGTTCCGGCCGATTCTTTCCGTTAAACAGTCTTGTGCCCCTTTTTTCTGATAGTAAAGTAAGCGGTAATTTTAAAATAAACTCAGCAAGATGTGTGGTTCCCAAGACGTACAAAGTGATAACAAACGAGCGCCTGCGTAAAGTCGACACTGAGAATAAATGGCATTTGCGAGGGACCCATGATGACGCTGATTCAGAAACCATGTGATTGATTTGGCTGAATGAGTGGCGCCATGTGACACGATGGTTTCAAAAACGAAAAAAAACTGACGCTAAGACCAGAGGTCTTCGGGTAGTTCGATTTTGAGCCGATCAATTAGCATAATACAGTCTTGCGGCACGGATGAAAGTCATACTCAAAACGAGTCGATACGACGAATGTAACTTCCATGGTAGAAAATGGGAGACTAGCTTGAACAAACATGAATCACCGGGCCTATAAAAAAACAAGGTATTATATGATGGACACAGAGTAATTTATTAATAAGGTAGGTGAAACGGGAATCAGAAGTCCATTTGCGCTGTCCTCGGTATGCAACCAAATGGATTTTTAAACAGTTGAATTCCCTATTTTCCTTCAGGTTTGCAACTTTCTTGTGTAATTTGTGAATTAGTTTTACGGAGAAGAAAAACGTTCCAGTATTTGGTACTCTTTCCCGGAGTATCGAACAGCACTAAAAGTGGACAGGGTCCTTGACATCCATTTGTAAACTGACCATGAACGTCTTCACTTGGAGTAGTCTTATAAATTCGGAACATTCTCGGTATTCAGCAGCTTTTCGTAGAAAACATAACCAAACTTTGCTCAACAGTTTAGGACTGTTAAGCATATAGTGTAAAGCGAAGATCACGACGAACTCCGATGATCCGGAGGTGGAGGCGGTAACTGATATGATTGGTGCGTGAATTCAGGGGGGTCAGCAGACTATTCCTTGGGGTGATCGGGGCAAGCCATGCATTGTAGGTAACAGGTTGGAAGCATGCACAATAATGAACGCACCACTGGTCCGCGTATGTCAATGTCTCTAACCAGTGTCAAGCCTTAGCGTCCATGACCACGAAGACGACAGTGATCAGTACAGCAAAGTTTGCTGGTGATGGCTTCTATACTTCGCTGCCCAGTCACTGGTTAACCTCTGCTTGTTTGTCTCCACTCCTCGCGTGGTTGTGCGAAAAGGGCTGTCCGACTAGGTCAGTTGACTTTTCTAGGGAACACATGATCAAGTCAGCGCAACCTTTGAAGTGTGATCAGTTCATCTATCATGGGTAAATTAGTTCTTCCGAAAACAATTTGGCGTTCATACCGATGTTTCCACCAGACTCAAGCGATGGTCCGATGGTCGAACACGAATGGATTTGACGTCCTTGGGGCACAAAGACCCAAAAACAGCCTCGTAACTAGGTTGTCCTGAGAAGCAACCCCGTGAAGGCTAATCGCACTCGAAAAAAACGGATGGTTTCGCTCAGATATGGTAGATACTTTTGAAGTAACCTTCTCAAAACGACAGCTTTTTAGCGTTTTGTGAAACTGATAAGGAATTCTTTCAACCCTGGTTCTCGGTAGCAGTTGGACTCTCAAGGATGACCCATTCAACGAATCAGACACCTTTCCTCTAAGAACCCGTGTCACACAGGAGGGTGAAAACTTAGCAAACTAGCAACTCAACTTTCTCTGCTGGGATCCGACTTGAGTACAGTCAAGTGGGTGCCTTACCAAGCAGAAGCTGATTAGAGCAGTTTTGTACGCGTTCCATACAGGATGGGCTTGATGTTTTATGATGCGCTGGCTCCTTGAATATCGACCAAATCAGGTCGTTGGTGGTTTTGGGGACCAAACCGCGCCTTGCAGCTTTGAGAAATTGGTTTCTTATTTTCGAGAAATACACTAATTTGCAATTTGGGTTCAAGTAGAACATAAGTTCGACGGAAACTCGGGGACTGCGCTTACCTGATGAGCCCCAAGAAGGGCGAAACCGGTCGTCGGCTGTCGAAGAGTTTTCAGCAACCTTGTGAGTGGTTCCTTATTTGTTTCACTTAATTGTTTGTTTCCCTACTCAGCTGTGCACACATCTACCAAATCACCCGCTCACAGGCTTACATCCTTCATTTTCGGATTCGCGCTCCGACCATTGTTGTGTAACTGGCGTACCTTACATGTTTGACATCCACATTTCAGGGAAGTTTGTAAATAAAAATTTCTCGGTTAAGCTTATCCAACCGGCGTTCCACGTTTCTTCCTGGGTATTATGTTACTTGCAAACGATGTAGTTAAGTTGATTACCAAATCTGGTAAGCTGATTAGACAGCTTATGCAGATCATGGGCTATGCCATTGTGCATAAACAGTATATTGATCGGTAACCTCAGAACACGATTGATTCTTTCTCCTGTATTAAGCGAAAGGGTGTGTTATTTTTGGATTAAGAACTGCTCTAGTTTGTCTATTCACCTGTTAAAGATCGTGTCCTAGTACATGAATCAAGCCAAACTATGTATGGTTTTTTAGAACTCAGTCTTCATCCAACAATCTGATCTAACACATCCGAGTTCACCTGCTTACCTACAAAATATTTCAAGTTTCGCAAGGAAAATTTGGACACAAACAGTGAAGTGACCGGCGGTTGCAGAAGTTGCCCAAAGTTTGAAAAGATACAAATTAAGATGGTCTCTGAGTATATGCTCAAGTTGGACCCCAGTTCTGGTTGGTTCATGAACCAGATAAATGAGACCGAACAGACAAAATGGTCAAAATTACCTGCTACGGTGAACCTTTTATCGGTGATTTTAGAGACAAATATAGGAAAAAATCGTCTGGCAATTTGGCCAGCATACTGGGCTAACATTGGAAGGCAACGTGCAAACGAATGAACAAATTTTTGAGGTGGGAAATTCTACGTTTGCAGCAGGCAGTTAAAGATGCACCGGTACTAGAACAGGTAGATTAGAAACAAACTTGGTCGGGCCATCTTCACCGTTGCTTCCGAGTTGTACGACGGATGATCAGACAGGAATTAGTTCACCATACTAATACCATTAGTTTCAAATTAATACCAAGTTTATTTTGCTGAAAAGTAAACTGTCATTCATCAACTTTGTCAAAAACTGACCTGGCATCCGTCAGTGCGACAGGTGGGATAGACAGGTGTGTCAGATACGCCATGACGCCTGTCACCTCGAGTAATTTCACGCCTTATGACAGGGGAGGAGTTTGTTGATTTAGGCCCGCTTGGAAAGGGTGATTTCCCATTTTCGCCGACGAGTAATAATTGGTGGGGCCAATTAAAATGGCGCACGAGAAACAG